AAAAAAAAAATGTTGAACTTTGTAGTGACAGTCGCAATTGGTTTATCTGTGGGATGTGTATTTGCTTTCTTCCTTTGTCTTTTCTTTGACCTTTCTCTTTCTCTTGCCTCTGTGAGGTCTGGTTTCCTCCTCCTTTTCTTTACCTCTTTGCCTATTGGCTGCGTGCAAGTGGGTTCTTGTGACACACGGGGATGGGGGCAGCCAGTGCTCAACCTGTCATCGACGTGGCTGGCCTTGTACGTAAGAGGTGATGAACAGGTGGGGCTTTCCTTCCTTCTTTTCCTTTCCTTCCTTCGCGCTCTGATTCACAGTGTGACAATATATATACGCGAGTAGGTGAAACTCCGACGAAACAGTATATCACAGCCCCTCGTTCTTTGTCCTCTTCTTGCTCTCTGCCCACGGTTTACGGGGCAGTTCTGTTTGACGATATATACCCTCTTTGCCTTTTGGCTGTGTGCAAGTGGGTCGCTATGACACACGGGGGTGGGGGCGGCCGTCGCTCAACCATATCAACGTGGGCGGCCTTGTACGGAAGAGGTTCTGAACAGGGGGAGTTGTAAGTAAGAAGATAAAAAATGAATTGATATCTTTTTTGTTTTTTTTTCGTTTTTGCGCTCTGATAACTCTGTGACGATATAGATTTGCCTTGAAGGCAGTGGTTGGTGCCCACCGCAGGGTATCAGTTGTCGGGCAGTCGTTGATGCTTAACCACAACTGGGGTTAAGGTGGATTATCGCTTACAGTGTAATCAGTTAGGGGATTCGGCAGACTGTCAGGGTTCAGCCTCCTGATCAGTCGGTGAAACTTCGACGAAACAGTTTGTCACAGCCCCTCGTTTGTTGTCTTCTCCCTCTCTGCCTACGGTTTACCTGCCAGATATCGTCAAACAGAACTGGCCGGTAAACCGTAGGCAGAGAGGGAGAAGAGGACGACAAACGAGGGGCTGTGACAAACTGTTTCCTCCGAGTTTCACTGACTCATCAGGAGGCTGAACCCTCTCTCTCTCTCTCTCGCTCTCTCTCTCTCTATATATATCCGTATCACGCAGATATACGTTGTCCCTTTTGTGCCCAAGGACGCTATCAGAACTGCATGATGCCGCACTGTGATGAACGTCCTGCTTTTTTTTTTACATGTGGACAACATGTCCTCTGTCAGGACTGTTTTGATGGGATGGTTCGTGCTAGCCGTCCTGCTGAATGCTGTGCTGGCGCAACTCTCCTTGGGTATCCTTGTGAACAT